GGGAGCGACGAAGTGTCAAGGGAACAACTTTGGAAGAACTGACGCCTTTTGGTACAACAGCTGCTGTACTGGTATGAGACATTAAGAACTTGACGAGTTGTTCAGAGCTATTTGGTGAGTGGTTCAGAGCCGATCACAAAAACGGTTATAATTCCCAAATTCCCATCCCGGAGCCTCATAAAGTTTATCAAAGGGCTGACAAGTATCGTCACTTTGGCCTAGTTTTGCCCCTGTCCGGTTCATGTACAAAGGGTTTTCATTCTACCGACGGTATCAGGTCCATGGAAAAGACACATGGATCCTCCTTGGATGACCTTGTACTTCCTTTACAAACAGGTGGTGTCCCATTTCCATTATTCCAGGGAGCGAAAGTGCCTCATGCTCCAAGTGTACCGCCGAGTTCATCCCATGGAGTTCGGCTGCACGGTGTTCCGCCTTTTCACTTCCGGCGCAAGGCACCACAAAAGCCAGAAGTGGCAAAGACCCTCCCGGCGATCCAGTGTGATTTCTGTATCAGTTTCAATCAGTCTTTTGGAGGCAGCCTGCTGGATCCAGGTCCATCCACTGTCTTTCAGCTTTCGGACATATATTCCGCTTCCGAACTCCTCTTCAGTCTCGAGGACTTTCAGTGGCCCCACAGTGATGGGCCGACCTCTGGGTCAGCTGTCCTCGTGCGTCGTCTTCTTCCTAGGCTGGTGCAACGTGCCGTGGCCTCGCAGTTGCTGAAGGGCGCCTACTTTGGAGCGCTGAAGTTGGCCTTGGAGGCACCCAGGCGGGGTTGCGGCAATGGGGTTGCGGTGTGCTGGGAGACTGGTGGGCAGAGGGGCCGGGGGTTAGCATGGGCCGGGGAGTTGAGGGTAGAATGGATCCTGGAGGATCTACAGATGGGTCGACGGATCTACGTTTCGCATCAGCAGGTTTGATTGGGCAGGTTTGGTTGTTTTTCTTGTTGCCCTCTTGAGGGACGTTTGATTTGGGTTGTTTTGATAGAAAAACACGGTATATACTGTAAAGACTGTTTCTTGAAAGTAACTTTACTTTGTGTTTCGCTCGGTTTGTACCAAGTGTATCAATGAAACATATCATGTAAGGTGAAAAGTCATTGCCGTGGATCTTGGGTCGGAAGCCTGTTCTGACCAGCTGCCAAGAATCTTGCTCCTGCCAAACATTCGTTGATTGGTCAAAAGGTTGGTGAACAGACTGACCTGGTACTTCGTCATTGGCTTGCCGTTCTTCTCATGTGTTTTCAAGCGGAAAAGGTGTGAAATGGTTTCAAGCTCCCTGCTTATCGGCAAGAACCCCACTTGAAGCATTTGTCCTTCAAGGGTTCGGGATCGCAGGACCAAGCAGGTGTATGTAAATTCCTTTTGGCTTCAGCCTTTTTGCTTTGCCCTAGGAATCCAAGTACCTTCTCAGAAGGTGCTTGGGGTGTGGTTTTTGGAGGGTTCAAGTACCTTCTGGGGAGGTACGACTGGAGCCATAGGGTTGGCAGGAGCAAAAAGAAGCGCAAAGTCTTCATGCTGCCGCTGGGGGGTGGTGTCTTCAACAACCCTTTCAAGGACTGCAGCCGAGTTTGGAAAAAAAGCACCCTTCACTGCGCCCGGCGAACCGCACTGGATCGTTGCTCCTCGTGGAATTGCGGGACCGGGCATGGGGAAAGACCGGGAATCCAGAGAACATCTCGTGGAATTTCATGACATTTCATGACTTTTCAATTTCCCCAAGACAGAGTCGTGGAACAGTGGGGCACATCTCAAGAAGTGTTTCCAGATGAAGATGGAGGGGCCAGGGGTGATTCATGATCCAAATGATTTGGAGAAGAGGCCGGCCTTGAATGTCCATCCTTGCCATCTTCCGCCTGTTTCATGGGGCGGAAGATCCCTCTACATCCAGACATCGGCTACGTCGGCTACGTCGGCCGGACTGGAGAATCGTCTGTGGCGGTGTTATCGATCGCTAGGTTGAGCTAAATGCCGGGCCAATGAGTCTTATTTCATCTATGCCTTTGTCGTTAAGACTGCTGATGTGTGTGTGTGTGTGTGACGCAGAAACCAGTTTGTGTGCTTTTTTTTTCTGCCGTTTGCACGGTTTGTTTCTGAGGTCGTCCTGCACTAGTCGGATAATGGATAATGCAGTAACTAGAACGTAAAGTGCGAAGTGCTGCTCACTCAGAAGCGAATTTCGTTCCTTGGAGGGCACTTTCGCTCCTTTCAGGTACTTCGCAAGACTTACCCCACTTGGAATTCATAGTGCTTTCGAGGACTTGGAGTTTGACTGGAAGTTGGCACATTCACCACAACATGTAGATTTTGATGCTTGAAATACAACCCAAAAACAGAGCTGTTTGGTTGTGGGTCGACTGCCGATTAAATCTACATACCCCAGTCCTGAGCTTTACCTGTACACCACAAGCTCCACGCCCTCCTTGAAAGCCAGCCATACCGCAACAAAAATCCGTGAACGTCCGTGAACATTGATCTTGGGGTGACATCAGAGCGGTCCATGTAGTAGGCTTAGGTATAAAATTGTTCCATTTCATGGACCGAGTTGTCGATTCCAAGCAGGCACCAGGCACCAGTGATTGGGGAGTAGATGGCACCAGTGATTTATCCAAAGTTGGTGGTCTAAAAAAGGACCCCCATCATCCCCCTTCTAAAGGACATTTGAGATCACTTGAGAGGGGAGTGCCATCTACTCTGACGTCAATTCAATCCCGCAGCGAACGGTTTTCCGTTACTCGACCGGGTCGGCATGACGTCTCGTTTTGCGACAACTGGACGATAGGACATCGCCAAAGCGATGGTGGACGCAGTGACCATGGCGAGGCAGTTGTGTCCAGATACGAAGCTGGAGGATCTGTTGCTGGGCCGGATGCGATCGGATCGCTGGTTACGTTACAGGGACAGTTTGAGTGGACTATACTTGTAGCGTTACGCTATAGCTAGCAGCTAGCATGTCTTGGGTGGCTATTGCTACCAGTCATTCCTCACTTGAACTCACATGGATGTTTTTTGGTGGGAAACCTCAACGCGAAAGCAGGAGGGTCTTCATATATCTTCATATCCCCTCGATCGACGCTGAGTCTTACAGGATCTTACAGGTTTGGGTCTAAAAGCCGCATATCCGCTGAGCCACGGTGAATATCGTGGAGAAAATGTTGGTTGTACGCGGATCATCGCGGGTCCATGTGGGGAAGAGGTCGACATGGCCTAAAACGGGTCCAGAGATCAGTGACCAAACAGCACAAGGAGAGCGGTTTGATTCAATCAGCGAGGGAGTTCGTCAAAAACAGGACAGCGGGAAGTATCTTGACATACTTATTGAACTACCTCATTGGGGTGGATCTTTGTGTGAGAGGTGGCCTGGCCATGTGCATGGCCACAGCCCACAGCTCAACCAAACGAAAGCCAACAACTCAGAGGACGGTCGACCTGTCGCTTCTCTCCCCGGCCGGTTACCCCGGCGTGGCGGCGTGGCGTCGACGCCGAGGCTGGACCTATACGTCCTCACGTGGAAAGGGAAGCCATCGGAAGCCGAGCGCTTTCAACAGCTCCTCACCGATCTGGGCCAGACGGTGATCGGCTCGGGCACCGAAGCCGGTGCAGACCGGTGATGGCAGCACGTGCGGAAGACGGGTGATCGACCCGGCGCTGCTGGTGATGGGCCCGAAACCATCCAAAGCCCGAGATTTTTGGTGATCCAGGGTTAAAGCTCTCTGTGAGAAGGAGTTGCCTCTTCCAACAGATCTCATCTCATTGTGTAGGCCATCCAGACAGTAGCGTACACACACCATCACGAACCTGTTGAGTGGTGATTTGTTTTACATGCATAATCATGCATATATCTTTGTAGTTCATGTGTCCTCCATGGCCTCAGCAGGGGTGTTGGTTCATTTTCATCTTTGTTCTGATCTCTGAAACCACGATCCCAGTCATTCTTTCTTTCAGTTCGATACTTGAGTCGGCAGTTCGATACTTCGATAACACTTCATTTGGGATGACTCCCCCACGTTTCGGACCCTGTTGGGTGGACCGAGAGTCGAACAGAGATGCCGTGGAGAAAACGAGGTGTGCTGTTTTTTTTTTGCAGGCGCTCGGTGGGAGTTGAGTGTTCATGACTTTTTCTTGAACTTCCTCGTTCATTCTCTGTGTAGCGGTCCCCAAATATATAGATGGTGGATGATAGTGGCACAGTTTCCAATACATGTTGAAAGGGAGTGTAATTGTACTTGTCTTATCTATTTCGGGGGGGTCTATATATAGGTCTTGAAGAACTCCTGCAAACATGTAAGAACCATCACACTCCCCCACGAACTCGATTCACAGGATTTTGGGGTCTCTCTGCTGGTCTTAGAGAGCGACACCAGACTATCTCCTTCTCGGACCCATGAGTCTTGAGAAGTTCCTCAGCCCAGACACGACCCGTCTGGGACTGTCATAGGACTGCCAATCAGGCCAGGCCCCAAAACAACCACCCCAAGCCCAGTTGGTCCTATGACAGTCCCAGACGGGTCGTGTCTGGGCAGTGGACGTATATGCGGACCTCACACCGGAAGACAGCGTTAGCTGGCGTGGAAGGACGCGAGTCATCAGGTCTCACCAAGGAGGATGTTCTTAGGACCAGCTGTGGATCCACTTGGACCGGAGATGGTGATAGAAGAAGTAGAAGAATGCGGAGGGTCACTTCCCAGCTTTTCTGCATGGTGGCTTCAAGCAGAAGCAGTTCGCTCGCTGCCTGGCATCTGGCATGGTCAGTATGAATGCGAGTAGAACTGTTCAGCTGGGTTGAAACCATTGTTACCTTATCATCCATTGCTACAGTGACTTGGCTGTGAATCCAAACCTACCCCACCCTTCGATGCCTGGCATCCCTATGATCGGTCGGAAGCTGAGACTGTGTTTGCTGGTCAACCGAGGGTCGGCCTTGTTTTCACCCACCGCCATGGATGGCAGACCGCCACCGCACGGCACGGGTCTCATCCATCGCCAGCACGGCCACAGGCAGGACGTGAGGCGGATGGATGAGATCTTGGATGAGGAGACGTCGGTTGACCCTGTCCGACCGGTCGGAAGCTTTGGATTCATCACGTGGGGGGTGGTTGCACAGTCCCTGCACCCTCCTGTATGAATTTGGGAGTACTTGTAGGTGGTAGTAAGATGTAGTAAGTACCTCCGGTAAATGGATGTCCATCCCAAAGTAGTTCATAGAGCGGCAACATCACACACTTATGGATATGCGTACTGACTTGACAGCGGTGCCACACGCCGGCCTAAGAAACCCAAATCCTGAAAAAACAGGTGAGGGGGCCTG